ATGAGTGGTCAATGTGTGGAACAGTTGAGTTGAGGAAGACACTAGTATAGATGGCGAAAACTGGGAAGAGTTCCAAGAGGAAGTAAGATTTGAACTAAGCCCTATACTAAGAAAGGAAAGAGGATTTTAAAATGGGAGAATAAAATGATCAACGGGTGAAAGTGGGAATGATTACGTGGTATTCAGGGAATAATCAGTAGGCCAATAGGGCTAGAATAGAGGGTACCTCTGTGAAAGTAGAGGCATTAGAGAGATAAGTTAGGGCAAAGTTATAAAGAGTCTTGAGGGTCGTAAAAGTCATACAGTGGGAAACTTTTTAAGATTTTTGAGGAGAGTAACATGAAGAGCAGAGCTTTTTTTTTTATGTCTAGGTCACAGTATGTAGGGTGAGGCGGCAGAGACTAATCAGACCATTTCTATAGTTCAGGTATGATGAAAAGATGGTGGCAACCATGGAAATGGGACAAAAGTGAAGAATAATGCCAAAGATGATGATGTACTCGCTGAGTTCCTAATAGTTCCAAATGCTCCAAATGCGTAACTCATTTAATCCTTGTAACAACTCTATAAAATAAAATAGGTAGTAGTGTCCTTCTGAATTCAAGCCCAGCCCCTTCCACTACATGGCCTTGGATAAGTTACTTAACCATTCTGAGGCTACTTCTGAAAGTATATATCCACCTATATACAGAGGGTGCCAAAAAAATGTATACACATTTTAAGAAAGGAAAAAACTGTATTAAAATTGTATACTCAATATATGCAAAAAGATGAATGCAAGTCATGTGTATATTCTTTTGACACTCCCGGTATTTTTTAAGATGAGATAAAACAATATAGGTTTCCATATAACCCATGCTTTATAAACATCTTCATAGCTGCTACTTCTTTACATGTATTCCTTTGCTCCCCTGCCCCACGCCCTCTCAAATTTAGGTGTCAGCTTTAATCACTGACTACACTATCTACCTTGGTAGCATCTGGGGTATTTTTCTGTACAAACTTATCACACCTGAACTAAATAATTACTTGTATAATATGTCTATATCCATTTCCCTACTACAGTACAAACTCTGCTCATTCACAACTATATCGCTAGTAACTACCACTAGCCTGCACATAAAAGGTACTCAATAATTTTTTGAAGGAATACATAAAAAGCATTACATTTTCTGATCTCTAATGACAGACACAGATTGTTATGTTATATTCCAATTTTCTGCCTATATTCCTAAGAATTTATTAATCTACACTAAAAGTATGTTGAATACTCCAGATACACACCTCCAATCGCTAGCACATAAGTACTATATATATACATTATATATATATAATGTATATATATATATATATATATATATATATATGTCTATCTATCTATGTCAACTTTAAACAAACCAAGTAGAATAAGACAGAGGTTAGCAATTCAGAATTTGCAGGGCCAAAGCATCCTGGCAACAACTCTGATGATGCTGAACAGTTCGACAAAACCATATCCCTATCAGTTTAAACTAAAAGAAGAAAGTATGACTCTAAGGAAGGGGGAATCCATTAGTTTTACATTCAGGTTTCAAAAATCAAAGTATTCTTTACCTGGAGATAATAAAACTATATGTGATCCTCGTTCCAGTAATTTCAAGAGGAAGTGACAAGTAAATAGAATTCTCATTAGATAATTCTATTACAGTTAAATGAATCGGTATGCTGTACCACAGAAATAGCTTGTTAATTTCTACCTCTGATTCTTTTTCTCCTTGTTATACTACCCTCCTCTCTCAATCAGTGGGCATGGATTCACCCTAGAGAGGTAAGAAAGTATATTTTGTTCAGGATTCAGCCCGTAGGTTTTCTCTGATTAAGCCCACCTTGCTCTGTTCCCTCTTTCAATTCAATATCTCCGTCATCCTTTTGCTCTACATTGCTATTGTACAATTCACACATTCAGTGATGATTTTTTTCCTATTTTTCTCAATATATGTTTATTTCCCCAACTACACTGAAAGTTTGAGGCCTGGACCTTATCCTCCTTTTCCTTCTACATCCTTTGCCCAACCCCAAATTTAAGAATAGCATGTGCTCGCTGATGAAACTGATTAGTATGAAAGCCTAAGTCTATGTGAGTCAAAGAAAATGTTATGCTCAAGAAATAACCCCCAACCCCCACACACAAGGACAACTGATTCCTTCAAGTTCACGCCTAAGAAACTGAGAACACACTTTTCTATGTGTTCACTATTACACATGATGGTTCAACTCCCAAACCAATCCCAAAAGCCGATTAAATGCAGAAATCAAGCTTTTAAGCAAATAAGCCACATCTAGCTCTGAGGAAAGGAGGGGAAAGAAACCAAAGTCTAGGATGAGTTGGAGAGGATATGCGGATTGGGGAAAGGGTTTTTCTGCCTTTTTCTCTTTACTCTCTTCCTTTCACACAAGGGTGGAGTGAGGCAAGCCAATGCCCAGATCACTGGTGGAATCTGAGAGGCACAAAGGAGAAATAAGTTTCTGCCACTCCTCCAGTGGGAAGGGGAATTCATGTGGAAATTCACACACAGTTTGGGTGATGCCCATACTAATGTACCACTAGAGTGTGCGGTAATTTTCAACCTCTTCCTAATTGCACAGTATCTACACAAATGAAGAAAACATTTGCTGCCTCAAAAGATCCAAGCTTTGCATCATGAGTCAGTCATTCTGGCTATAAAACAGCTCACCTTTGCTCAAAACAGAATGTGCTGTAGTTGACAGGGACAAGCTTTAGGGGTTTTATTTTAAAATCATAGGAAGGTGTACGTGTATACCCAGTAGAGGTATGTCTTGCAATACCCAATAGAAGTATGTCTAAAAAATATTGCGCGTAAAACTACATTTATTTAAACAACCTTGAAAACTAGCTCTTTACAGAAAGATTGACCACAGGATTTAGTTAATTCAAATAAATCCCCACTTTATGTAAAAAAAAAAAAGATTTATGTTAAGTAATGTCAGGCTGACTTAAAGCAGGATACAACGATATACAAGTCTATATTTTGTCCAATCAACTATGATTTATGAAATAATGCCAACCACATTTTCATGAGACTACTTATTCTCTCAGTGTAAGAGGAACTTTCCCACTCCTCAGATCCAAAGTCATTCCTCATGATTTTCCTTTACGAGACATATCCAGCCCATACCTTGTGACTCCCACCAGCCCTGACACTAATCTTTTCCTACTCTACACCCTATAACGTTTTTAGGAGCAAGGACATACGTTCTGTGTCTTTTAAAGTCCCTCTTAGCATCTACCACATGACCAGAAAAGCCCTAAGGGTACCAAGAATGAGAGGCAGCTTTACCATTTCCTAAAATTTTAGCTCCCATTTACTGAGAACTATTACTATGTGCCAGTTTTCTAAGAGTTCCTTACATCCCTATCTTTCAGATGAGAAAACAAGCAGAAAGACTGTAACTTGCCCACAGTATACCGCTATAAGAGGAGGAAACTAAGCCTCTAAGATAATCCAGGTCAAACTACTAAAAAAAAAATGTGGGGGTCTGAACATGTCTGGCTACAAAGCTCAAGCTCCTAACCACGACTACATTATAGTTTTCCCAATCTACTTGGAGTTTCAGGAAAGGGTCCTCCCTGGGAACTTCAGGTGGAAATGGGTAGAAGCTGTGGTGGGGTTGGGAGAAGGGGGGAAAAGGGAGGAAGAAAAGGAAAAGTAGAGTTCGGGCTGGAAGAGCCACAAGAAAACTGGTCATACCTACTTGCAAATATGTACCAAGAGGATGCCCAACAGCAGCCAGGAAGGCAAAAATTCAAACCCCAAGCCCTATAATGAAACCTACTTTTCATGTAGTGCCCCAAACACTACAATACAGTCCTAGTTCAATCCCTTTTTTTTACAGATGGGGAAACTGAGGCCCCCAGAGTTAACCGTCATTGCATTCTCCCCCTTTCCCAACCCTCCACGCCAGAGGTCCCGGTGCGCTCCTCTACCCACCCCCACGGCTCTGCTGATGTTGTCCATCTTGCTGGCGACCTGTTGGAAGAGGGGGTAGCAGGTCTGACAGAGGCGCACCGGCCGGGCGCCACGCACCAGACACCCGGTCAGCTCTGCGCTGCTGTTGGCGAAGTCCAGCAGCAGCTCCCGGCACTCGGGATCCAGATCCGGCAGGTCCGGGGGTAGCGATAGCGGCCCCAGCCTTCCTCCCCGCAGCAGAGTCAGAGACAAGTCTTCCACCTCCAGCAACTGCTGCTCGGACAGGAGGTCGTAGAGGACCCTGTGGGAGCTGCTGCCTGAAGGGAGCGTGCCTAGAGCCAGTCCCGACCACAGCAGCCGCACCAGCAACAGCCGAGGCAGTAGCAACCACCTCAGCTGCGCGACAGTGGCGTCGGGATCCATCGCGGAGTTCACAAACCCCAGGACGCTCGCCGCCGCCCCTCCACCCCGAGCCGGTATGGCTGAAAGCCGACGCTTCCGGCTTCCTCGAGCGCAGGCCGCGAGCGGGGTCACGAGGCGCGCGCGTCACGGCCCCGCCTCCGGCGCGCGGCGCCCCGCCCCATTGGTTGTCGAGAGCCTCTCGCGGCCTGCGGGCCGGCGCGCGCACAGCAGCGCGCACACATGGTCCGGCGGCTTCGCGCTTCCAGCGGGCGTGAAGCGCGTGACTTAGGGGCGCGCGAGATCCGAGGTGGCGTCGGGCTGTGGGCTACCGAGCCCAGGCTCGCCCGCGCTGTGAATACAGTCGTCCAGCACTTTGAACAGTTAAATCTCGGGGGTCTTGGCCCTCGATCATCCACCGCTTTGAGGGTTCCCTGCGTTCTAGAAGTCACACCGCAGCAAGACGGACTCGTGGGAATTGCGAGTGAGTTCCCTAAGCAAGCTTGCTAGCAGGTGGATTTGCAGGTGTTTTACTTGGTGTTTTTTTAACACAATTTTCTCCGTCATCCTGTTTGCAAAGAGTAATAACGTCTGTTAATTATTTTTGGTAGTGAAGCCTAGTGTCTTCCTAGCTTTTTTTTTTTTTTAACTCTAAAACTGTCTACAACAGCGCTGTCCCATAGACTTTGTGCGATGATGGAAAGATTCTGTATCAGCGCTGTTTAATACGATAGCCACTAGCCACATGTAGTTGTTGAGCACTTCCAGTGTGACTACTGCGACTGAGGAGCTGTTTCATTTTACTGAATTTAACTGTAAATTGCCCCACCTGACTAGTGATGCTGTGTTGGACAGCGCAGGTCTAAGCTCTCTCACTCTAGACTGGTCCTAGGGTGGCTAATGTCCAGGTTTGCCGGGGTACAGCACAAACCTGCATCCAGTACAAAAACCTAGAAAATCCGCTCAACTTCAAACTCCCACCCAGTTTCTGACAAGCCCAAAGCAATCATAGGGGACACTCTCTAACAAGAGGCCTGATACCATTGCTGGCTGTGAAAACAATTTAAGCTAATGACCTGGAACACGGTTTTCTGACAGGTATCTGACTGATGTGTTTCGTAGAAAATTTTTTCTTGTCTGTTTTGTGTCATCTTGCTTTTATTTTTGCCTTGTGAATTGCAGAGCTGCTGTACTAACTCCTGTTCAGCTTATGGTGCTAGTCTACGAGTATGTTTCTAAGGGTTCTTAGAGTTACTGTTTACCCAGTCTATTTGGTTATTGTTTTGTGTTCCTAAATTTGCTTGTGATGGATAATTTTTTTTTTCGTTTTTTTGTTACCAAGAACTGAATGAGTAGGAAATTTGATTTGTATAACAATAAATCATGCTCAAATTGTCCCAGATTTAGCCAGTGGGAGCCTATTCAAGCTGGTTTCTGTATGTTCTTGTAATGTCCCCATCATCCTTTGAGCACATCTTTGCTTTCTGGCACAGAGAGCAAGGCTACACTTGTGCTTTTCTTGCCCCAAGTGGTGGAATCAGCTATTTCTCCAAGGATCCTTGGTTCATTTTAATGAAAATGACATTTAGAAGCCATGGTCTGGGCACTATGAGTGGTCATCATTATTGGGGTGCCTCTGCTATTAGTTTCTCTCAGTGGACAGAGCCAGGGAAAATACACACAAATACATACATGGGTATGTATGTACACATACATATATGAATACACACACATTTACATTTATATTTATTTTTATATTTATATGTATTTCCAGCCAACAATATTGCTAATTGTTATCTAACACTACAGAGTTCATTCTATTTTGTCCCTTTTCATATTTATAACTCCCTTCTCTGACAGTGAAAGACCAGACTCCCATTATCCTTAATATAGTTATTTGCTCAATCCCTTGGAATATAAGCTAACTCCCAGTCATTGCTGCCCACTCTCCTGCATGGAAACCCTTGTTACCCCATTCAGGAGCCAATACCCTGCATTTGGCCGTTGTTCCCTCCACCTTCACCATGTCCTCCTCCCGTTTTGTAGACACTACATCTTCTTTTTACAGTTTTCTTCTTCTTCCTCATAGCCTGTTTCCTCCAACTAGCTTTTTTCCCTCATTTTTCCTTGAATGTCTGGTGAACTTCGGCTCTCTGCTTATATTTAAGAGACAGGCACTACACAGCTGAATGGAACCTCATGGATAGGGCTCTTTGCCTGTAGGCATCACTATAGGCCAGTGATTCTCAACTGGGAGCAATGTCCATGACCCCACACACACACACTCCTGGAGACATTGCCATGTCTGGGGACATTTTTGGTTGTCACAACTGGGGGAAGGGGTGCTACTGGTATCTAGTGGGTAGGGAGCAGGAATGCTGCTAAACATCTTACAATGCACAGAATGGTCACCCAAAACAAAGAATTGAAAACATCAATATTTTAGATCTTTCTTCTTGGCAGGTCATACTCTCCAGAGAAGATTCTGTTAATATGCTGTCTGGCTGCCAACATTCTGAGATACTGGTGGTAGAAAAACACTAGCAGTCTCCACATTCAGTTAGTAAACTTTTATTTAATCCCATTTTCATTAAATCGCTCCTGCTCTCAAATTTGCTTGTGCCTCTTGGTCCAGAACCCTTCTGTTTCACCCTCTCCAGAGGTCAGAACTTCAGGGGATATCGTTCTGGAAGCAGAGAGCAAAAGAGTTGTAGGGAGGGTATTGTAAACAGACTTTCAAACAATCATCCTGTTTTTAGCTCCTCCTTCACCTACATTTTCAGAGGGACCTGAGTTCCCCCACTTCCTGGGTTGTTTTAGAATTCTATAATGTAATTCACTTGCTTTTTTCCCACTGCAGCTTAGGATTCAGCTTGCTGGTTCTCCTAAATCAGTTGCCATCAGTCCCTCTGCTTTCCAGCTTCTGATATTCTTATTTTGTTTTCTCTCCTCCTGTTCTCTATGTCTTTATGTGTCTTTTTAAAAATCCTTTTACTGTCATTTTGGTGGGATTTCAGGAAGGAGTAGATCTAATAAACATGAGTTCAACTTGCTATCTTTTTTTTTTTAAGATTTTTTTTATTGGGGATTCGGGGATGGGAATAGCTCTGGGGAATTGGGGGAAGGGGAACAGACAAGTTGCTGTCCTTTTGTTCTTCAGTCTAGTTGTGGAGGACGTTGCTTCACTGGCCCAAGTTGGCACTATCATTGCGCTCTTCCCAGGCGTGGCAGATCAGTCGCCAGCTTCTGGACGGCCCCTCACGGCGGCTGCTGGCCGCTCACGCTGGCTGCTGGCCGCTCACGTTGGCTGGCTACACACGGTAGCCCATGGCAACCCACTGCCACAGGGGCTGCAGCCTATGCCGTAGCCGGCGACTCCCGGCAGCCCAGCTCCAGGTTGAGCTGTTGTTCAGCATCTTAGCTGTAGAGGGCAGTGTCACTGGCCCTCATATGTGGGATCCAAACCAGGGCCCTCTGGCATCCCAAGCCAACTCTTAACCAACACGCCACTCAACTTGCTATCTTAAACTGCACTCTCCTCTGTTTTACCTCACTCTTTATTAAAGTAATTAGAATATGTCTCTTATGCCCCACTCCCATATGATAGTCTCATGGAGAATGTGAATTGTGTCCTATTTATAATTGTATACTCAGAAATACCTGGCCTAACGCCTGTTCATAGTAGGCTCTCAATGTATTTGTTACATTGAATTTATGTAATACAAATGCACATCTGCTTTTAATGCTTTTTCCATTGAAACATCAGTAGAAACATACTTTTATTTTCCTAATTTTTTAATATGCAAAAATGAAGTAAATTAACTCCTATGTCCATAAACTTTGAATACCTGACTAGCATAACCTGAATAAATGGAATATGTAAATCATGTTGTTCATTCATGACACTTTACAAAGAGTCTCATGTATGCACTCTTGTGGCCAATCTCATTTCCAAATCTCCTGACCCCAAATAGAGCATTTTATAGCCTCTGCGTTAGAAGATATTTTTAAAACAATGATGTTTAATCACGTTTACCGGACAGACTATCTGGTTTATCTGGTTATAAATGTATCTTTCTAATAGATGAATCTTATTAGAACTTCAGGTGTGTGTAAATATATTTTAAGTAAATATTTGCTCAATAAACAAATGAATAGAAATATATGTAAATGTGTATGCTTCAGTATTTGCATATCATCAGTAACCAAATTCTGATCACTGAATCCATTTCCTAATATAACAAGAAAATCTATTAGATACCTAGTGTATAGTGCTGTTCCTCCCATAGCCAGAATTCCCAGGTCCAGGGATAAAGGGTTGGAAATGGGTGTGGCATTGGTCACTATTACCCCTAGTGACCCACTAGCAAAATTTTGGCTTCCTGTTTCTGTGGCCTTATCTCTGCTAGCCTAGAGATCTTAGTTCCAAAGGGAAGAATGCTTCTACCAGGAGACACAACGATGATTCCATTGAACTGGAAGTTAAAACTGCTGCCTGGTCACTTTGGGCTCCTCATGTGTCTGATCAACAGGCAAAGAAAGGGGTAACTGTGCCGGTTGGGGTGATTGATCCTGACTACCAAAGGGAAATTGGACTACTGCTTCACAGTGGAGGTAAGGAAAGGTATGTCTGGAATACAGGAGATCCCTTAGTGTTACCATGCCCTGTGATTAAGGCCAATAAAAAACCAACAACGCAATCCAGGCAGGCCCAGATCCTTCAGGAATGAAAATTTGACTCACCCCACCAGGTAAACAACCATGACCAACTGAGGTGCTTGCTGAAGGCAATGGGAATACAGAATGAATAGTGGAAGAAGGTAGTTATAAATATCAGCTATGACCACATGACTAGTTATTGAAATGAGGACTGTAATTGTCATGAGTACTCCTCTTTATTTTGTTAGGAGTGTGTGTGTGTGTGTGTGTGTGTGTGTGTGTCTTTGTTTTCTTCCCTCTCTTATTTCCTTATCATATAACATAAGGTATATTTACTTTATGTCATAGTATTTAAGTATTGTTCATTTTATATCAGAGAATTTAAGTTATGGGATATCAAGGAAAAGAGAAACATCACTCAAGGACATTATCTCCTTTTCTGGGAAAGG